TAAATGCGATTAAAAAATGTACTAAACCAAAAATTATTTTCGTTCGTAACAACTTCACCCTTTCAAGGCAAGTTTCGAATATAAACTGAAGCTTTATATTTAATGAATAAACACCTCAGGAACCTCCGCCTATGATTTTACGAGTTTTACGACCGTTTTATGACTTGGGCCCTCATTTTGTGCTATCGACAAATTATGAACGGACTATAGCATCCTTTTTGTCTGCAGGTGAAAAAGTGAGACAAAACAGTTTACTATTGCTTAATCTAGGAGAGCTCTTTGGATAGTCGTGGGCAAATTCTTAGATTTTTAGACTGATAAAGTATTACTACTATCGCTTGAGTTTTACATGTTGTTCATTGCAAAGTTTCTACGGTTTTAATACTACACAAATAATTGTTCACAAAACTAATTTATTGAAAGCCTTTGATATGTTACAGTAAGAAAATTTTATATCGTAATTATAAATTTTAACTACAAATTGGAAATGGCTATTTCTAGTGTTCCGCACATTGTAATTTTTAAATTGGCAGATAGCGGGGCTTGAAAATGAAATAGAAAATGTGAATAATTGATGAATAACATGAATTTTATGAAGTTAACACAACATCATTACATGGAGTTTTTGCTAGACTAAAATTCCATAATAGTAGGCACTAAATTCTCATTAATATTACTGCATCAAAACAAACACATAATTAAAAAAAATAATGCACTTCTTCGTCAAGGTAAGGTTGAAGGAGTTCAATAAAAATGTTTAAAGTAATAGAGTATTTTATTAAAGAATTCACGTAAACTAGATATACTTACTTTCTTCCACACATAGGCCTATCACTGTACCGTTCAAAAAAGTTTGTTTTGTAGTATCGAGTCAATGCCGTTTACCTGGACGATGTTCAACCACGATGCAGATATTTTTGTTACCTATCGAAAATGAAAAATAGTAAAACAACAGGCGAGCAATATACACAAAATGCGTATAAATAAAATGTAAGGACGTAGGTATAAAAACTAGAATTATATCAACACAAAAGTTGCAAATTTATAAAATAGTTGATTGCTAAACAAATATATATTTTTTGTATACAAATATATACAAATTATATTAATTTCTCCGCTTCCACTTATTCTTTATGCAGTGGTGACGATTGTATCCATGTTTCAATTACATTCTGTTTAAAAAAAAACTGTTTTTCCGTTAACCAGCTGTCGCACCCCTACGAACGACAACCCTCAGAAGTCTGAACTTGTGGCGAGCCGAGGATTAACGAGGTCTTACCTTTTAACGTGTGATTCCTAACACGGGTTTGACGATAGCAAGTGAAGATCGATCGTTCAGACTAGGGCTTGAACCACCGACCAACACGGCAGTCAATTCGAGTGAGTGAACAAATCACCCACGCCGAACCGCTTGGCTACCGACCGACCGATTACATTCTGTCGATAAAAATACAATTCTGGATTCTACCTCTGCAAAACCCGGGCGTGTCGCTAGTAGTACCACGGAAAATTAATATGACGAAAATAATAACTTGAAATGTCAAATTTCAATAATAATTAAGTACTGTAAATTTTACTGAAACCCTGGAACTATTGGTGGCGTTAGCATTTGCATTTTTACTTCATTTTGTAAAATTACAAGTGATTATTTTTTCATATGGTGTCGTTAACCTAAAACGAGAACGAAACTTCATGCACATCAATAAATTGATGCACAACTTACTCCAAAACCTTCTCAGTCATATTTTCTGGTTTGTGAAATAGTCAAGGTCGTACCCAGGTTTCATTTCAGGAGGGAACTGAACTTAGAATAAATGGAGGAAATGAAGATATTAAAACAAATTTTCAGCTCAACTCAAGTGAATATGTACAGAGTTCTGAAATGGTTTCGTTGGCACAAGTGATTCTTCAAGTATAGTGTAGGGGGCTACAACCTGATAGCGCCCCTGGGTGTGCCCTTGAAATAAGTTTTAACAAATGAAAGTTAGCACGTTGAAAGTACATCTTGTAAAATCTGACTCGCCCATTTCTTCCAAGTCTCTGGAAAACACTATAGCGTCACGGGCTTCCCAAACTGGTTCCATACCAAATATTTGGTACCCTCACATGGTTCAGTTGATGATCTGTGTCTGGCACACTCGTCAGCTTTCTCGAAAAAGACCAAGGTACTTGACTCGCGGCTGTCAGTCGATTTCTCATCCAGAAATTCTCACTTTCATGGCCGGAGAAGATATCGTTCCTCCCGTGGTTAGTGTTTGAGTTTCGGTCGGATTTACTCAGATCTTCCAATCCAAGTCCCAGCGCTCGAGGTCGTCTAATGAACGTTGCATATATACAGCCCCATGGGAGAGATGAGGAGAGCCGTATCATTGTCTTCAAATGAAGCCTTTACACCCTCGGGCCTTGTGAAATTACTTACGTGGGAGAGTGCATGGCTTTCTGAGGCACGCCAGCGATGGACTTTCCTGCCTGTCAGAGAAGGAACCTCTGATCTGACCTTCCAGATAGTTTTAGATCTACCGGACCATATCCCAAGACAGATTCAATTCCAGCAGCTCGTGTAAAAGGCCTTCGTACCAGACTCGGTTGAAGACAATTGAAATATTTAGCGGGATGAGGTGGACACTCTTGTTTTGATTGAGCTCATGAATGGTTTTTTCAATCAACCTCCGAGTCTGCAGCTTGGTGGAGTGCTCCCTTCGGAAATTGCTCGTTGGGCAGAACATTTCGGTCCACAACTTTTTCACTGAAGACCGATTCTTTCAACTGGCTCAGTTGCCGAGGTAAGCAGACTGTTACTTTGTGGAAACAGGTGGTCCTGATCCAATTTCGGGACGATGACGAAGATTGCCTGCTTTCATTTTCTCGGGCAGCACTTCTGGGTTAACAAGCTGTTTGATGATGTTATTGAATCGACTCCCGGAGACTTATGGACTTGGCCTTGATGTATAGTTTCAGTTCCTCCTCAGAAACTTGCTGGATGTTGTTGTCGTATTCCATCAGGATGCGTCGGATTCAATTTTCCAGCGGAATATCGCGGTCGATTTCAATGACGTCAAGTTGAAAGTGACGTTTTTTTCATCGTGTCTTTTAAGGACAGTTGAGCCCAGCATTACATTGGTCTGACACGGGTTTTCGGAAAGACAACAGTTATGCCATGTCGACTTTCAGATTTAGCTTCCAACCGATCCTGGATTTCAAATAATCGTTTTTCAAAAGTCTTAGGAACAAACTGCCGTTACTGACATGTTCAGCTTGTCAAATCTAGGAAGAGACTTTAGTATTCTCTTGGTAAATCTCGCTAGTGGGAGGAACCATATCAAAGTTTAGAAAGCCCTTCCTATATTTGACATGCTGTAATTTTATGTGATGTTTTAATTCAAGATCAAATCATAATGAACTGAAAATTTTTCCCTAGCTCTTACTGCAGCCCAAAATCCACCCGTACCGGCCGGTCCATCCCAGAAACTAATAGATTACTTCTTCTATAAATGCCAGAATCAAACCCACAGCACCGCTGCTTTCGATAAACTTTACTCAGACGCTGTAGCTTTCAAGGACTTTCTACAATACGCTTTCATGTTTATTCCTGAGAGAAGAAAAACATTTTGCAATAGCGAAAGGAGTAAACTAGAACAAAGGATGACGGAACTTTCGTACGACATCAAGCCGTGCCTGGCCAGTGAGGAAAAGTATTTATCGGAATTTATGCGGGATAGTTTTAAGGAGTTTTTGCATTTCCTTTGCCATAATGATGGTGAACATGTAACAGGTTAGTGGTGGAATTCATGTTTTTTTTTCAAGACGCCTACACATTAACATAATAAACAATATCACATTAGGCGTTAGAAACATATCTAAGACACAAAACTATAGAAGTTAATGTTTTCATAAATCTCAGCAGTATTATCGAAAGGACCACGGAGTGGGCGACATCTAGTGTTTATAATTTGACCATCAAAATCAATAAAAATATTGATTATTGTCATAAAAAACAGTACTCACAAATATTCGTTATTGCATTCATCTATTACAATAGAAACCTAAAAAACGACTCTTGATAATGACTGGTAAATCAATAAGGAATTGTTTAGTGAGTCTGTGTAATAATTTGGATCAGAAAATGTGTCCATGCACAGCTCGTTCTAGAATCCAATCATATTTTATGTACTCCAAGTACATAAAATATGATGAGTACATGATAGGTAGAAACAAAACTGACCTTTCAAATGAACACAAAACACAATTTATCTTGTCAATTCGTATGAGATACCGGACACAAATGTAATAATCCGTAGAAATGTCGATACAAAATGTCACATTGATCGTTTTTTGTTTTCCTTGAGTTATGCACCGCCATCTTGCGACGATGGTCCTCGAATAGCATAAGCATATTTAAACATGAAGAATCATAAATTCACTTCAAAAAACAAAAAAAAAATTATAATATATCTACAAATCATCTCCGCGGAATGTATAAACTTTCCTAATGATGCAGTAAAGAATTGGTATCTGAAACACATGCCATTTAAAGGAATGGAATTGGTATTTAACAAACAAATACTTCACTTACCTACTAGACTTGTATCCGATGATATTGCCGACAGAGAATGTTTTAAATAATATAAATCATAATCCTATATTCCATTATCTCAGGAAAAGATAAATTGGAATGTCTGTTTTGTATGTAATCATAAGCAATCACTTCTCCAAAAGATACGTAGGAATCAGTCATCAGGGATGTGTTTTTTTAACTTTAAAAATGTATATTTTTATTGGATTTTTTATCATTTTTCTTTGTTTCCTGACATATATATCGAATGATTTTTTTGTAGAAGATGTGGCGAATGAAACAGTTTTGTCAAGCTATAACAACTACATTTTTTACAATTCTCATTATGTTTTATAGCATTCTTCCGTTCAAGTGCCAGCCAATGTCGCAGTGCTTTACAAAATGACAATACCAATCAAGTGGGAACATGCTTTTCTAAAATATTCAAGCCTTCGTCGAAGACTATCAAGAAAAAAGAAGTTTGTGAGTAAGTACATTTTTAATTACTATGCAGTACCGACCTGTATTTCTTTTCGTGAAGTATTCATGAAATTATATCTCATCACCGAGTATAAATACATAGAAAATGAGGAAAGGGTGAGTGAGTCCTTATCAGCAAAAGTAAGCAAAGCTTTACCCCCCTCCCATCCTAACATGAACATTGTTTTATGCATTTTTCTTTTGATGTATTCTGTTTTTTCATTGATTCAAGTATGCCCACTGACTATATATGCCCACTGACTATATGTCATCAGTTACAATTCTGGAAATAAGAAAATATATTTAGGATAGAAGACTTTACTGCACATAATATTTATTTGAACAAACTTTATTGACATGATATTCAACAAAGAGTAAGGTACAAATAACTTAAAACTCAAGTGATTATGAACAAAACAATATTTGGAATACAAACGAAATAGAGAAAAGTGTTTTTCATATAATTCAGCGCTCATATAAAAGTATTTGTTTCAAAAGTATTTTTCTTTCGTGTAATTCAATGTTTATATGAAAATAGCTGTTTCGAGAGGTCTTTTTCTTCCAGTTTGTGTCTGAAAGTTATTTCTTTGCATGATACACATCTTTATATAGAGTTGATTTTTTGAAATTGATTGCTCTCCCTTCCTTTCTATGGAAGATCCCACATTTTTTTGCATCAAGATGAAGTAGAAAGACAAAACCTTTCTTTCCAAAAAAACAAACAAAAACTTCTTTAAAAATTTTTGGTACACATATTAATTCCAATTAACAGTCTTCAGTCCATGACACCCGAATTTGTATGAGGCGAACATTAACGTGCTCTGCTTTGTTTACAATACGTCAATCGTATCGAAACAATATATTGACGGAGACGGTGAATAGCGCGCGGTAATTCCCCTACTCGATTGTAAGTAAATACCTAAACGTAAACATTATTTGTGAGTTGCCATATGTGTAAAAAAGTAAATAACTACTGCTTACGTAGTCACCATCTAGACACCCACGCCTCCTATAGTGCTAAGTATTACTTGAACGACCCCAAAGTTCAAAAACCTGTATCTTGGAAACTGCATTTCCGGGCATGTTTTTTTATATGAACTTTTTCATTAAATTAGCTTCTGAATCCGCCTAAACATTTTTTCACCGTAATTTGGAAACACCGTGTATATAGAGACGATTTATTAGGTACTGGTTATAAGTTAGATGGTGCCACAGTTTTACCAGATTTCTGTATTCACCTAGATTTACAGATATGTTACAAGTTTTGTTAATTAGGGAACTGATTACCCACTTTATATTACATTAACATTCTTCGAATTCTTTGCTGATGCATTATGGAATTATTGGATGTTGTTGGAAAAATTCCTTGAAATTTCATTGCGAGTAGAAGTCTTTGCGAGTAGAAAATTGAACAATAGACGACTTCCAGTCCAGACGATTTAATATTGAAATAACTGTAATTATAGCTTTTGTGAAAAGAGTACAGAACAAAAAAATCCACATTTTCATAAGTATATAGCTCAGAATTAATTTTTGGTAAAAATTTCTGGTTAGTTTCAATTATGAAAAAAAAAACTAAAGAAAAAAATCTCCAGTTATTTTGCTGCAAAACATTCGTAATGATCTTCTCAGCTTACAAATTACCTATGGTTTTAGCCTGCAAAATTTTACTCAAGTTTAGTGTGAATCCTAATACTTCTGATAAACAAGATAAACTTACAATGAAGTTGGTGGAAATAAGGAATAATTTCAGACAAGCAGCTTTAGATGCGGAATTTCTCTCTCTCCAATTAGATATCAAATCAAGGGATTCAAAGATATTTGAAAAACTTTCTTGAAATCGCTAAATTGATTCATGTCTTTCAACATAACTTTTTTAATTTCTTTCCATTGACGTGCAATAAAACACTGTGTCTCTTAGAAGATGAATTGAAAAAGGTGATGATTTCTTTCATGATACCAGTAGCATTTCTGATTGACTGAACATTTGAACTCTTCGAAATAGATAAATTCAATGCGTGATTACTGCATGGGCACTTCAGAGCATTTTTCAATTCTTGTTGCAATTCTTTAACGACGCCTTTCTGTTCACCCAACATTAAATTGCACCCATCGGTACCAATTCCCACACAATGATCCATATTCAAATTCAAAGATTTCATTAGTTTCACGACAGTTTATGCTAACATTCATAATTTATTCTACCGAAGGTTCATTGTAATTAGAGGCGTGACAATTTATAAAACCGACAAAATATTCGAAAATTTGATTTTTTTAAACATACCTGAATATGACAGATAATTGTGAGATATGGCTAACGTCTGTAGTTTCATCAAATATAATACAGTAGTACTTACAATCTGTAATCCTCTTCAATGTAGTAGTTCGAATTTCCTCTTTACATAATTCGATCATGTACTTGTTATTATGCACTGTTTGGAACCTTTGGTGTAGAAATGAGTATTACTGGAGTTTTTTCCCAAACACCACACCGTTATTTTAACACCTCGACATGTGTTTCGATCACTAAGATCAAACTGATCTTCCTCTTGAAGATGATCACTTGGTGATCGAAACACACGTCGAGGTGTTAAAATAACGGATTGGTGTTGGGATAAAACTCCAATAATATTCATAATTCGATCAGTTCATTTTGAGTTTTTGGGCTGTTGTTTGTCCGACTATTTCATTCCAAGTATATAATGTATTTACATAAGCACCTGCTTCATGAATTCGGCCGTCGGCGAACAATAACAAATAAAAACCCTGTTCATTCAACTCCATAATGCGCCACCCTGATTGCAATTATAATTCATTGTTGAGGCTAGAAAAAATGAAACTTTCGAATAATTTTCTTAAGTATACCATACTATTACGCAATTGTCTCTCTCAAATTTTCACTAGTCCTTCCAACGGTTATATTTGAAAATTAGCAGACATCACCATGTTAAACACTACTGTTTTTTTGTATTACAGTGATCTATCTACGGCCGAAAAATGTTTTGCAGAAATTTTGGAACGTCAGTGTCCTGCATATGGACCGTACAAGGTCCTCAACAAACAATTTTTCCAGTACGTGAGCAAGCCCTGTTCCGGCTGCGTTTTCTCTTTGAATGTACTCTTGCTTGTGGCATCAGTTTTATTTTCATATATCTTTACTCGTTAATAAATGTATTTTTGAGAAAATTTTAAAGTTGAAACAATCGAATGATATTTTTGAAATTACAGGTTTTACCCTTATTACAATAGTTGTGGTAGGTCAAAGTAATAATAATTGAAAAACTATTAAATTTGCCTGTACAGTTGAGCTGGGTCATTCGTGTTTATTAGGATGTTGATGATATATTGGAAATTATATAGAATACTTGTTCTTCAGCAGTAGCTCTTTCAGATTTTTTTTAACTGAACCAGGAATGTTTTGATATTCACAAAATAATCTAGTCTTCTTGTTAATGTCGCAAACTAGATACTTTCCTATGAACAAAGCCTGGAAGTTTTTTGAAACTTATAAGAGTTGAGAGAAAGCAGGGGCCTCCCCTTTAATATAATATTCGATTCCAAATATTTCTAAATTAGTCCTCACCACATTATTTTTCTAAAATTAGCACACCCCAGAAAGGTGTCCATTAGACTGATATTGATGAGCTGGAAATTACAAAAACATATTCTTGGCGCAGTACGTCTTTCGTTAATTAATGGGCTCTATAATAATTCAAATTGCCAGGGAAGTTAAAATATTATTTTTGAGTTAACTTTATACTCTACTTAACAAAGGGATATCTCAACAAGATCTCTGATGATCTGTCAACTAGAAATATTAATTTTTTTTATGGCTGTTTTCTCTCGAATTATGTGAAGTCTGGCTGGAAAATAACAATATTTTTTTCCCTGCAACATCACCTCATCACTTTCACTATACTCCCCTCCACTATAGAAACACAAAGTCTGAGCAAGACAGTGCCTCCTAACCGGCTGGAATGTCAAACGGCGTTTGACCTTGAGGCTCACACAGTTTGTCTGGTAGAATAGCAGTGATATTTTCCAGCCATCCCTCGTAGTTTGATATTGGTAGAAAGTAATAAAACCTAATTATATTTGCAAAACGCTTACAAGTTATTAGATACTGATAAATTTCTAGTCTTTAGTACATAGATTTTTGATTAATGACTAAAGGTGGTATATAAAAGGAGTTTCTTGAACGAAGCTTCAGTAAACAAATTCTATTCATACAATTCGTTTTGCGAATGGTACATCTTCAGGATGTTAAAATTATTTGCTATAAGAAAAGAACTTAAAATTGGCACTACTTACAAGTAAATTGAGTATACTACAATAACAGTAATAATTATACAAACTAATTGAATTTTTTTCACAAGGATGATGCATAATTAGAGTTTATTATTCTCTCAGTATCAGACAAATCATAGTAAATTCTTACATTTGAAAATATATTCAGTTGAATTGTTTTTCTAATATCTTATATTATGTTCCCAATCAAAAGTGGCATATAAAAAAAATTGTGTTAATAGATGCTTTTCTCCTTAAATGTTTCATATTTTGAATTCCAAATAATATATTATTCAGAAATCGATAACCAGCCTACAAAAAACCTTTGTTTTTTTTAGTTAAAATATTACAGCATTCCACACTTTTTGTAGTTATTTTGTTTTCATCATTTCATTATAAAATCTTCATAAGTTGTCTGTAGAGTTGAAGTTATTTTTCTTGTGAATAAACTCGGCTATGTACTGTTCTGTATCGAAAGTGGAAATCAGCCTGATTCTTTGTGCTTTCTGATTCCACAACCTGCATGATACTTTTTGAAATGAAATAATTTATATGGATATTCAAAAGTATTCCTATTTCTAGTTTGATACCTTCTTCCTATGCTTTTCTTCAAATTGAATTCGATTTACTTTGGAGGTTATAAATACCTATATAGGTAATGTGTAACCCCTACAAACATCACAAGTTCAATTAAATGAGTGTTCGTCAGTTTATTGCCAAATTTTAAGTAGAATACTCATTAGGGTCAATATTGGAAAGCTACAATTTTTTTTACAACATGTAAATCTTCGATTGAGAAATGGAGAATTTCCACAAGTTCAACACACATCTTTTATTTTCATTGTATGATGCGAGTTTGTTATAAAACATATTTAGTTTAGGAATTTTTGTCCATGTTGACGACATACTAATTAGAAAGTAAATTTGGTAGCATTGTCAGCAGATGTAATAAATTCACATGGGCATTATGAAGATGCATAGAAACCTGAGAATTTTTACAAATTTCCTTTCGTTTTGTCAAAACCTCGACGCGAGAAATGAGATAGATGGAACAAGAATCATTTCCAAATGTAAACTTTGGAGTGGCTTAGCGCCTCTGTGAAAGAAATGCCGAAGTACGTTGGTATTTCTATGCATCTTGAGCATTATCAATCCAGATTGTCATTCATGCTAAAAATAATTTGCAACTTGCAATTTGATTTGATCAATCCAGATTGTCATTCATGGAAAAAATTATTTGCAACTTGACATATTTTGATTGAGCAGAGAGAATAAGTGACTTTTTGGGGGTATGACAGATTTTGAATGAGATTGGGGTGAACAAAATGTACCTAATATCCGTGTTTCAAGTTTCTCCACTTGGAAACTTTCCGGTTGATTACTTCAACCAACTGAAGCACGCTGTTATGAATGAAACAACAAATTTCAACAGACCAATCGGTGGATTCAGAAACAAGTTTCCATTCAGTGTGTTAATTTTTTTTAATACTAGTATTATTGAAAATTGATATGACTGTTCTAATTAGTATGTTATCAACTTATGAGAAGTATAGAGTGCAGAAAATTTATAAAAATGTTTACTATTTGAATGATATTCATTCTTATAGATGGGTATACCTGTTTAAAAACGAAATTTAAAATACATTTTCATATATTGAACTTTAAATAGTGTTGGTGATAAAATTTTGAATATTTTGTATATCAGGAATACTAAAATGTATATATTTTTGTTATTTTTAAATAATAGATTTACAAACCATGTATATTTTGTCCAATAAAATGTAGGTACGTTCAGAAGTTTAATTTTTACCATATACCTTAATGCTGTTGTTCAAATTTCAAGTGTTACAATTTTTGATGAATGGTCATTTTATTTTTAGTGAATGTTTTAGTAGTTAGATTAAATAACTCAAAGTCTAGTACAGAGATAAGTACATACATTTTTTTTTTAATATTTAAATGTAGATTTTACTGCAAGTAAATATAGTAGTTTTATTGTGTATAAATAATATAGAGTGGCAGGCTGAAGATTGAATCTTGGGTTATCCCCCACTTTGGAATTTTGTGCAGGTCATTTCCACTATGTTTCATCATTCACACTGTCTCAATGACAAGAATTTTGACTGCAAAAGCTCAAGTAGTGTTATCCTTGCATCCATATAATTTTATTTTTCTACATAGTAGTCAGTTATCTTACCTACCCTGACAATGGTAGTTTTTCAATTATTGAATGATTCAAATTTCTGCAAATGCGCCAACCGACTAGCATCTTTTCCAGTACTTCAATAACTTTCTCATCAGTAGAACCTTCGCCAATCAGGACCAGGCAAAAACGACCTTGGTCGACTTTATCGTATCTCGAGAACCCAATTTTTATGCCGTGTTACATTGAATTTGAAGGCTGTAGATGTTTAAAATTAATGTATTTGGAGTAATTCCTTGCAAATAGACATCAGGGCTGCCGTCATTATTTCTCACAGTAGAAAAAAAAAATAGTTTTTATTACCATAGATAACTTCTTAAAAACAAAAATGTTAAGTATAGCCACAACCAAAATTATATTAACGACAATTCACTTGAAACAAACAGAATGTTCCGTAACAAATATTTATTGTGGGAAAGTTTTGTAACCAATAAATCAAAAATATCTAAATGCTCCTGTCATCTGCATTCAATAAATCTTTGAAATCACTCGTCGAGTTGAAACAATGTTGAATTAAATCAATGCAATCCAACACAAATACTGCTTTCTTGCACTCGAACTGCAACACATTCCTCGAGGTAAGTTTCATCAACCAAGTTAGCATCATCAGGAGATGAACATTAATATATTTATAGCATAATTCACCTCCTAATACCAATTTTGCATGTGGGATTCTCATCAGTGTTTCAGTTCTGTTGCATGGAAACAATGTTTGCGTTGGATTCCACCTATGCCAGAGATTCCAAATCTACCTTTTAATCCAGTGCAAAATGAAAATGATATCTATGATTAAAGCTGAGTTGTCAGATCACTTAATAGTGAAGAAAGGTTATAAATGATACCCAACATGTCTGATTCACTAAGAAAGTCAATCATTTGAGTATAGTTACTGAGTGGTAGAAATGGGCTTCTTTGAGATTTTTGCACCTAACAAACTTTTGAATTATCAAAAATATAAAAAATGGCAGGAATAAATTATGTTTGCACTTTTATATATATTTTGTACTATCGAGGAACTAAATAATTACGAATACTATTAGGTTTGACCCTCTTGCCTAGAGGCTTATCAGGTATGTCTCTTTCTCTAGTTTGCTTGTACTCCTCCCATAACTCTTCCTGCAAATCCCTCGGCAAAGCATGAAAAACGTCTTTATCAGCATTAGGAGGACAAGATATGTTTTGGTTACTATCTGCGGGTTTCTCTGTGGAATTCAACCTCAATTCGGCAACTCGCAGCTTCAACGGTGATTCACAATCTTCCGTCTCTTTCACAAACCGTCTCTTTGCAACTATGTCACTTGTTTTGCTTTTTTTTCGAACTGGTCCTGGTTCTTTTTCTGGACTTTCTGCAGTTGAGGAACACGGAGTTTCATAAGAAGGTTCATCGGTCTCACTTATGCATTTTATGTTTGTTACTGACTGCACTTCAATATCTTTGACTAGGAAATTTGTTAAAGCATTTTTTCCAATGGAACGCTGATGAAATTTAGTGAATGACAAACCAAGTAACGTTAAGTGGTAGGGTTTAGTACTGTCCACTAGTTTACTGAACAAACGCATGATAATAACCATGACCTTATTCAGAGCATTTTCACCCAATTTGGTAACATCACCGCAGGTGAATAATGATGAATTGATGTTGCACTGTTTTGTTTCCCGAACACCTAATTTGCTGCTTTTATCAAACTTGCGGACTGTTAATTTGATAGTTCTCGGAATACGGCCGTCTTCAGCAACTAGTACTAAGAGCCTATTTAAAAGCTGAACAAGTTTCTCTTTCACTTCTGTTTCCGCTGAAATTGACTTGCAGCTGTCTTCAATGCCAATGCTTTGGGGTTTACCAGATGACTTTACAAGTATTCGGTCTATTCCAAAACTCAAATCGTAAACTTGTTTTGCTTTTTCTGGCCCTAAAAGTCCACTCAACTTCGATATATTAGTACTTTGGAGGTCTTGAACTGTCTTAATACCGATACTGTTGAGTTGTTCGGAAAGGACCACGCCAATACTGGGAATTCTTGAAACTCCATCTAAAGTCAACATCAACTCAACAGCACTGTTTGGGAAAACAACTGTCTGCTGATTTGGCTTATGCCTGCTTCCGGCAATTTTGGATAAAAGTTTGTTGTGTCCAATGCCTGCACAAGATGTCAAACCAAGTTGAACTTTGATATCTTCACGGATATTTTGAGCAATAATGGAACCTATTCCTAGTCTCTCACTACATCCACAATCGCACATATCACTCGTGTCTCCAAAAATATTACCAACTGCGTCACAGTTTGCTCCAGTTTCCAATCGTTCACTAACAATCCTCGACACATCTATAAAATTCTCATCGAGTCCCAAACGTTCTACTAGGTTCGAATACTTTTGTAAGAGTGCTGTTACTTTGTACGACGTTTGCCTGTAATCGTGCAAATCTTCGCCTTTAACCAATACCAAGTTTGGACAAAGTTTAAAAGCATCTTCTATCAACATGCACTTTTTAATTCCGTACTCCCGAGCAATGTAATTGCTGGTTACTACGATGTTCTTTTGTTGGATACCCAAAGGAACGTCTCTCAGTTTGGGATTTTTATTCATTTCAACTTGAGCATAAAAACAGTCAAGATCTACATGAATAATTGTTCGCGAGTGATCGTCCAAGGCCGTATCTGACTCCATCTAAAATTGATATACGTATTATTTTGTGTATTTTCACCATATGTTCAATTACTTTTTGTGAAGATGTTTCCTGGATTTAAACATTCAAAACTTGAATAGTAATAATAGTAACCTAAAAATTTATATTTCTTATACAAACACAAAACACAATCACTTCAATTTCTGATTATATGTTCTCTCCCTCTTCTTTTGTATGTGCGTTGCTTCCCATTCTGGAGCATTTGCCAGTTCCTCCTGTCAACAGGAGTTTTCGTGCGGGGTCGTAGCCGTCTTGCTCGAAGCAATGCTGCCACCCCCTAGTTTTTTCACTCATTTTTTTTTGTCCAAAAAAACATTAAACTTTTTTAAAGTCGCCTCCTCTTCACATATATGGCCCCCTTTTCGTGGTTATCCGATCCACTCGGCCTGGAAACCAGCGTGAATAAGGGGGGGGGGGCTCACTTCAGTTTACACATGTAGGTTACTTTACTGATGGACGCTCACTACACAAAAAGGAGTCCCGCGATTGCACATGGCATCCATGTATCTTTTTCGTGGGCGGTCATGATCGGCACGTCAGTCCACTACCACCTGTCACCACAGAACTCCCTTATTCGATTGTTAATCAAATTTTTCTGCCTCTTTTGACACAAAACATCAATAATGTTCCATCGCTGATTTCAGATTAGTTAAAAAATGAAAATTGAAAAATAAATCATTATGGAAGAGAAAAATAATCTATCAATTGAAAAATATTTGGTAACAGAAAATTTCAAGATGTGTAGAATGTAATTGGTTAGTTAAAGTAAGTTGAAACTTTTTAGTATTCTACGATCTGAATTTTGTAATGTTGTATGTCTGACTAATAGTAGTATAAGAAATTGTAGTAGTTCAGACGAAAATGAAGAATTTTTTATTGTTATGTTCTTCAAATTCACTGAATATCAGTTGGCATCTGAACCATATCAGACAACTGTAATCACGATTGTTTGGTGTGTGGTATTGGTTGGACTAATATTCAAAAATGTGATGGGTATCATATATCTATAATTCTTCAAGGAATAAAAAAAGATTATGACGGATGTATATAAGGAGTATTATTTCTGTGTTACAAAAACACCTTCAAAGAACACTGTATCAAGATGACGCTAGTGTATCAGAAAACCTTTTTCTGCGTACTTAAGCATACAAAAAGGATGTATTGGCTTAATGCACCCAAAAGGAAAATGCAGAAATGAAAGAGAGTGAACATTTGACGTCTCTTTCGATTCTCCAGAGCTAAAATGTTCCCAACCAAATTGACGGTATCATAATATGAACTACACTAAATCTTCAACTCTTATGAATATCCAATAGGACGAACTTTCACTTTGACTTACACTCTGATGATTATCATGAACTTAGACACAAATTACCTAAAAACGTTCACGAGAGCGTGTTGAGCAACACAATTCTTTTCTGGTTAACGGAATCAAATAGGTATATCAAGCTTTTTAAAACGAGTTTCAATATTTTATTATTTCATCTTGGAGGCTTAATTTCTAGACTGAAGATGGAATTCTGAGAAAAAAGTCGAAATTCATAGATAAAATTAACATTAAAATCACATTTTCAAGCATGCACATGTGTTTTATGTGTTGAGACAGTATGAACACGCCTTAGTAATCTATTATTGTATAGTGATGTGTGATGGAATCGGCCAATACTTGATTAAAATCCATAGTATATTCAAGAAACACTTCACTGTGAGATTTTCACTACACAGTTTACAAAACTGCCACACTTGTTTCGTTTAGGCGTATCTATACCAGTATAGACAGGTATATACTATACTATACGTGTCTATACTAGTATAGAATCGCCTGAAGAAGCTATTGTATAGCGAAACAAATGTTGCGGTTTTGTAAACTGTGTAGTGAAAATATCACAATGAAGTGCTACTTGAATACGTTATGGATTTTTTTCAAGTATCGGCCAATTCCATCTAGAGAAATACCATTTTTCCATACATTCGATAATTCAAGCGTTCATTATTCAAACGTCACGTGTAACAAAGATAAAATGGCCATAAAGCGACACTTTCCTGACGATAGCACAAAGCTCGAAAATTTAAATTCGCTCATCCCATTATTTGTAAATATGCTATGGTGTGATATCCGTCAGCGTTTAAAGCTCTGTTTTATTGTTTGCGGATTAATTCCGTAAACTGTTGCATTTTTCAATGAAACTTGCCCGGGTAGATAGGGCTTTTAATGTTCATAACAAAATTTATGCCAAGTGGGATGAAACTCAGTTGGACCATCATACTTTGTAAATAGGTTATGTCATAATAAAAATTGAAAACGTGTAGGTACGATTTTCGAACTTTTCTGTGGCTAAACGCATTTATCAAATTCGATAATTATTCATCATGTGCTGATGTTATTCCATCAGAAATACAAGGGTTGACCAGGAAATAATAGATTTATTCCTTCACAACTTTCACTTTATCCCTTTCAATACCCCCCTCTCCACAACTCCGACACTTCTCCATTCAAATTTTCCACTGTTCAAAGAAGAGTCTTGAGCCATTTTATGAAAGCATGCGTTCATGTTCCCGTCGCTTTTAACTTCACAGCTTCCACATTATCAAACCAGATTCCTACCGATTATTCCTTCACTTTCAGGAAAATAAAAATGTCATACGGACCTTTTTCTTCTTGGCAAAGTATGCCCGAAAATCAATGCCATAGATCAGTCATAGATCAGTGCCATCTTCAAAAGGGGAGATACCATCGCGTTTGTGTTATATCATGTTATTTTCCTGGATGATTGGTTGAAACATTGATTTGTCTTATAAAATTAGTAAAAACATATTTGTTGAATATGTCTTTTGAATACTTATGTCTTTCGAAAACAATTTTGGGCTTTACGACGTCCGGGGATTGAGAATTCTTCAACTTACAGTACTATTCAGGAAAAAAACACGTATACAAAAACTTGTGGGTACTAGGGTAGGTACTGGTATTTATACAATTCCACTGAATTTTTTTTTCTTAATGTAGTTGATGTTTCTGTGATAGCCGAAACCATTATTTGAACTGCATCTTCCAAAACATTCGATAAGCTCTTGATTCGCTTTTTGAGAGTGTTGAAAAAACTCATTTCAAAAATATCAGCTATCACAAAATTTGAGAATATCGTACTTGGGGGGTGATGCTGATACTTATTTTTTGCAACATATTTACTTCCGTATGCAATAAAATTAACAATTGAATCAGTATTTCTTCTTCAATTCCAATTCTGGTCTTCTCCAACTTTTTTACTCCAGTATTTAGTTGACGTTTTTTCTTATTATTGTGGCATTCTTGTTTTTTTATAGGTATGTAATATTGCCATCGTTTTCCATATTTTCGTCTTGATTCATTTCTTTTCGTCCTCATTATTTGATCATTTCTACTATTCAATGGTCCTCTTGTAATTATTGCTTCTCGTTCTAATATTCTTATGAAAGCTTCATCAATTTTTTTTCATATTTCCTCAGTACTGTTTCTTTTATTTTATTTTTGTGTTATTTTAATTGAAAATTTTTTGATAATTTGATTACGTATCTATCATGAAACCGTTTCAATGCAGGTATTTTGATTTTTTTTTGACATGAAGCTAAATTTACCATTAATTTACATATCACTTGCTACTCTTTTTCGAGTGTACACCTCTCTATCTTCCTCTACATGTGATTTTCACATTTTTTAATGTATTTCCCATTTATTTTTAATAATTATTGATGAACGCTTCCGATACTCAATGTGATCACTATACTAACAATTTGAGAAGCAAGCTAGTGTGTAGAGTATACAGCGTTCTTGTAATATCTACAAAGATTTGAAGATAATCAATCAAAGGTTGTCCGATGAATTTTTTCAATCATCATCTATCCATTTCTTCAATCGTTTTCAGCTACCCTTAGACCGACACAAAATAGGTATAAAGTAATTTCGAATACAAATCAGAGACGCAGATGGCAGATGTTCCTCAAAAATTCAAGATAAGGCAAAGCTGTTACAAATTGCCATCTGACTGCGAAGACAATATTTCGAAGTTCATTTTCTATTTTGTTTGCCCGATATGCATACAGCTGCATAATTTTATATTTTTGTGTATTCACATAGTTTTGAGTTGATTTGTAGACATGATCATGTCATGTCGAAATAGGACACAAAATAAATTTAATGTAAGGAAAGTTTTCATTCAGAAAGGAATATATTTGAACTATTTTGTCTTGGAATGATCCAAATAAACAAAAACACAAAAAGTACGAATAAGAATGCGGATATTGAAATTCTTAGCAACAAGTATTCATAGTTATTTATCAGATATGGATCAATATATTAAATTTAAAATAAATTAGATGCTGTATAAATAATTAATTAGATTGTCTCAAACAGCATTTAAAAACCGTGTTATATCCGAACCTGTTTTTTTATATTTTAACAATGTTCCCAGTGTTTTAAATGGAAATTATTTCAACACGATATTTATAAAGACTTTATCTACCAAACCACATGGTTGAAATCCTGCTATTATTTATGATGACAATCAACACCTTTCAAAATAAGTCAACTGGTTTAAATTATTAACAAAATACATACTCACATAAATAGCTACCTATAATTTATATCATCCAGAATTAATTCTTTTTTACTTTTAGTACAACACTTCAATGGAAGCTTTTCAAAAATATTACTGTATCTAGAATCAAATAGATAGATCCATCAATGCCTAGACTGCACAAAAAAACTGTGCCATGCATTTCCTTTCTATTTAAAACTTCGTAAACAGTTTTTATTCAAGTAGCATTCACCACGCACCTTGACTTTTTCATTTTTTTTTTCGATCTATTCAGGTAAACATCTGCCGCTTATCTAATACTTTTGACTGCACCTGGTGAATGGTCATCACCATAACTCTTTACCTCTCCTACTAAATAGTGCATCCAGTGTTGCCAATCCAATAAAGTTGTGTTGCGGAGGTTGATGTCAAGAATCGACAATATCCGATCTAATATCATAACCTTAAAAAGTATTCTTTACTTTAAATTTCCCGAAATGCAATTCAATAAAAAGGGTTTAAAATCAAAAAATAAATCAAACAATTATTGTGCATCGACTTTCATGGCCGGTGTCTAACAAATTATTTGCGGATTTATTAGCCGTGATCTGCAGGTTTTTGGGCATGCTTGAAATTCGGCGACTGTTCTGTCGATTTTTTCGAAAAGTATACACAGACATGAAACGGTAACAGAGGTAGTTTGGTCATTCTGTTTCACTAAAAGTTTGAGAGCATTGGCGGAATTTTTTACAACGATTAGCAGTGAAATATTCAATTCCAAACTCATCCAATCTGAATACACAACTTAACTATTTGAATAATAGTGACTAATACATTAATTTTCATGACATTTCCCGAATAAGTTATTGTTAGAAGTAATTGCTCGTGGACATGAAGTCCTCAAGGTGTCTATAATGAATTTTATTTTTTCTATGTTGATGACATAGTTTTTTTGCATTTTACCGGCCCATAT